TCTGTAGCCCAGGATGGAGTGCAGTGGCGTGATCTTGGCTCACTGCATCTTCCGCCTCCTGAGTTCAAGCAATCCTCTTGCCTCAGCCTCCTGAGTAACTGGGATTACGGGTGCACACCACCATGCCTGGCTAATTTTTGTAATTTTAGTAGAAACAGGGTTTCACCACGTTGGCCAGGCTGGTCTTGAACTCCTGACCTCAGGTGATCCGCTCACCTCAGCCTCCCAAAGTGATTATAGGCATAAGCCACTGCACCCAGCCCACACTGCACATTCTCATCTCCCAAGTGCCAGCAGGCTACTGTGCATCCGGGCAGGGCACCCACAGGGAAGAATCAGGGGAGACAGGACAGAAGACCCTAGAAGTAAGCCATCATATAAAACCCTGAGTCAAAGGTTAAATGGGGCATATGTCTTTCAAGTCGCCTGCTTGGCCTTCTTCTAAGTATACTTTCCTTCCTTTTGTTTCTGCTTTAGAGCTTTTAATAAACTTTTAATAAACTTTTGCTCCTAATCTAAAACTTGCCTTGGTCTCTCCTGCCTTATACCCCTCAGCTGAATTCTTTCTTCTGAGGAGGCAAGAATTGAGGGTGCTGCTGACCTGTACAGATTTGCAGCCAGTAACTTGGACACTCGCCACCGGTAACGGTAGCACACACATGGGATTGATCCAAATAAGCACTGCAATTGCTTTGGAAACAGAATTGGTATTAGAACTACAGTTCACAGAAGGCAGGCCAGAATTTGCAACCTGAGATTAACCTGGCCAAAGGCTTGGTAACAAACAAACCAAAAAGTCATCATTCTCCTTGGGATTTAAATAAAACCCAAATAATCAAAATGTCTAGGATACAACCCAAAATTACTCAGCATATGAAGAACCAGAAAAATGTCAACTCATAAGGGAAAAAACAATCAACCAATGTCAATTCTAAGATAACACAAATACTAGAATTGTCAAAGACTTTAAAACAACTATTACAACCAGGCATCAAGAAGGAAGGCAAATACTCTAGAAACAGTTGGAAAGATGGAGAAGCTCAACAAAAAAGTAAACTATACAAAGAGGATCCAAATGGCTTAACGTAAGTTTGGCGAGACAGTATGCCAGGGAATTTGAAGATAGATTTTTAAAAATGATATAGTTTAAACAAAAAAAATTGACTAAAACGTATAGAGTTTAGTCATCTGTGGGACAATACTAAAAGGTCTAAATTCATTGCATTAGAATCTTGGAAGGAGAAAAAGACTGTGAAACAGAAAAAATTATTTAAAGAAATAATTCCCAAATTTTGTGAAAGATATAATCTTATAGACTGAAGAAACTCAGTGAACTCCAAATGAATTAACTCAAACAAATTCATGCTAAAATATATCATAATCAAATTGCTAAAAACTAAAGACAAATAAAAAGTCTTGAAAATAGCCAGAGAAAAACAATACATTTCACCTAGGGGAACAATTATTTGAATAACTGTGGATTTCTAATTAGAAGCTACACAGGACAAAAAAAATATATAACTTTTTCTTTTTTTTT